CATTCAGATAACAACAAGGCAATAGATTTCAGCTAAGTATTACCTCATCATTGCTAACATGCTCATCCAGAACAGCATCAAAACAGAACTCATGCTTCTCTACATACGCTGTCAAGTCCACCTGTCATATAACAATTAAAACAGATATAAGAAATGACATATCGAACAAGCACCAATAGTGAACACACAGTAACATCACATTAACTTCTATTAAAAAGGGGAACAAACCTTTAGCTTTGGTTCATGGACAGTCAAAGCATTCTCACTCACGCTTACTATATCATCCTCCTTCCGAGAAATCTCCTTCTTGTTTAATGGCCTTTTCCGTACCTTATATCACATGTAAGACAAAAATTTAGCTTTACAAAAAATTTAAAAAGCAAGGCATATAACACTGTGCTATGAACATGCATGCATACATGCATCAACCCTACCCGGATAAATAATAAAACACAAAAGCAGGATAATAATGCAAGGAACAAAGACACTAAACAGGAGAACAAACTTTAATCTTAGCAAGGAAAGAAGGTTATCCCCATATCCATAGGGGTGAGAGAGGCAAGAGAGAAATGAAGCACCATGGCTAGAAACCAACATACCACAACTTTAATCTTAGCAACATTGTTTTCCCTTGTGCTGATCTCTTTTTCATTGACAGAGAATAATGAAGCGGAGGAATCTGCATTATCTTGCTCTTTTTGCTGCCGGCTAGTTGTCACATTAAATTCATTTTCAAATGCTTTGTTAACACCAGGCATGAACGGCGATGGCTCAAAAGGTTCAGATATAACATGCTGCAAACAATCAAGTCAAAATTTATTTCCAAAGGAAAAGGAAAAAGATGCTATGACAAACTTAAATTAAAGTAAATTTTCAACTGAATTTAAACAATATCCAAAGGGAACAACAACCAGAAACTATCCAGCCATATCACCACAAAAATGAAAGAAAAATAATAAAGTTGCATGTAACTGATCTAACTTCAAGTGATAAACCATTGTGAAACTCTCCAGCAAAGCTACATGCAGTAACCTACAAGGCTATAACCATACCTCAGACAGAAGCTCTGTATCATCCATAGCATGAAGATCCAAAAGCCCAGCTCCAAAATCCCCCCTGAACTCTGGAGAATAGAAGCCATCAGATGTAGCCGGCCCTCCTGAACTTTGGGCGGTTGGTGTGTATGGCTCCGACCCAGATTCCCCATTAAAATTGAGGTTCCTCATTAATTTGAATAGCCTCTGCTTCTCTTCTGCGGATTGTGCTCCATAACCCTTTGATAATGTAATAGTAACTTCTCATTATCCCAGAACGTGTAAAATAAACCCATTTAAGTATACAAGGTAACCACACCAGGAAGTATTTAAAATACAGATAGATCATTTGAAAGGAAATAAAAATTGAGAAACTCATCGGAAAATAAGGAAACAAGCATCACAACAATCAACTAATCACGAACGCTACAAATTTCTTGAATGCTCATCACCCTAATTGTCAATACGAATAGTGAATTTTGCACAACTTCATTAAAAAATTATATACATTCCATCAACTCAGCACAGAATATTAATCACAATATACAAACTTCAAAACCATTTCCCTTAATGAAAATGCAAAAGCCACGAGTGTGATCACTGAAAAAGTTCATCAAAATGACAATCTAAACTAAATTTAAAGCAAATAGAAAAATACATTAATCCAATTCAAATTGCATGCATCTGAATTGAGCAATAAACAGTTAACATTTACTAATCCACGATGACAAAAAATTAATAAATAAACACGTGGAAACAAAAAGCAGAGCGGTATTTACCTGCATGAGAAGATTGGGAAGGAGGCGTTGGTCGATGCCAGTAGAAGCCAAGGGAGAGGCCAGATGTTGCAATCCAGCAGACTGCAACCACCGCGCCATAACAGCATCACCGGCATCGCTGGCGGGACCTGCATTGTGCAAGGACCCGCCGCCGGCGGCATGATCGTAAAGCGCCGTCGCTGCAGCATTGCTTTGCTGCATCTGGCCACCCATGTGGCGCTGCGATCGCCTTTGCGGAGCCAACTTTTAAGATCTGTTTATCAACGCTACCACATAACCAAAACACCAAACTCCAAAATCAAAATTCATAAAAAATAATAATAATAAGAATAAAAACAAAAATAAATCAAAATGTAACTGAATTTCACTTACAAGGAGGAGAAAATCCAACTTCCAAGAAGAACATGAAAGTGAATTTCTTCGGGAAAAAAAAAAGTGATTCCAATAACCGTTCAATTTCTTAACCCTATCAAAACAAAATGCCACTCAAAACTCAGACATTCAAACTTCTTTATAAAAAAAAATGAAAGAAAAGAAAGCAAGAAAAATAAACAAATAAAATTACCAGAAACGGGGGAAAAACTGAAGAAGGACGTCGCCGATTCGAGATCTGCGATCAGATCTGAAAGAGAAGAAAAATCATAAAAAGCTGAAACCCAAATTAAATTCAATCGTACGGTGTGTCTGATTTTTCCTTTTTCTTTTTTTTTTTTTTCCTTTCTCTGATTAGAAATGAAAAATAAAAATGCGATGAGAATTGAAAGCCCAGAGAGAGGGTAACCGGTGCTTTCTTTTTTATTTGTATATAATATTCTTTCTACGTCGGTTGAAATCTAGAGAGAGATAGAAAGGTAGATACTAAGATTATATAAATTTTATCATTAAATATTTTGGTGGGTTTTCTTTTTTAAATTTATTTGAACGGCTATGTCGAATTTATTGAATGACTTAAATGCCCTTGCTTCTGCTCAATGATATTATCTTTTTCTACTGCTTGGTGACCGAAATACCCTTAACGGTTGAAGTTTGCTTCTAAGAAAAGATCATGTTTGCTTTTTCGTGTTGAAAATTAAATTAAAAAAATAATTTAACATTCAAAAAAGTCTTTCACTTATATATAATTATTCAAATATTAAGAATAAAATCAAGAAGGAATTTTTTTTTTTCAAAATTATCTAATGCATGGACGGCATCCTAATTGTTTAATACGTTAATTATGATTAGTAGAAAACCTAATTGTTTTTGTTTTTGATTATTTTAGGTACATACACATGTGTTCTTTCCAAGCAAAGTCAGTATCATTAAAAAATAGTCCAGCTAGTTCTTCAGTTTTCACATGCCACTTTCATCATAACTCGGAACTAATCTCTATCAATTAAAATAAGGAAATGTTAACCATTGTTTTATTGGTAGAATTTCACTCAACTTCATTGCCAAATTGGTCATTTTGTTGGTAATTTAATTTGGTTTACGATCGAACTATTTACGATGAGTTATGTTGTTAAATAAATTTTGTTAACTGAGTGTTCATATTAAGTAATATCTTCTCTTGTTGAATGTAAATTCTTTACATTATTTATCAATTACCGTGTTTAATATCAAAATATTACAATAAATAATATTTAAGTAATTTCAAAAAGTATCTTTAAAATAACCATTAACAAAACTCTATTAAATCTGTTAACTTAGATTTTGATCTTTAAATAATATTCGAAACTTATCAAAACTTGAAATAAGTATTAAAAATTTCACTCAAATTTATTTTATAATTAAATAAAAATATCTAAATTTTATGTTATCGAATCAAGTGCTTGCGGATACTCGTATAAAATCAATCCGTTCCTGCTATATTGTTTTCATGGTATGAACTGCTAAATTCCAATGGCCCAAGTTGATAGTTGTGGAATTATTGTAACACAGAGGAGAAAAGTGGCAGGATTCACTGAAGCTGTTCCACCAGGGTGGACCAAATTCCATGTGACACCCATGCCACTTGTTTCAATCATGTTAAACAAAACTGTATACAGGAGTTTTGACACTGTTGGCTCTGAACCTCATGCCACCACCAAGCATTCTTCTCCCTCCCCCCCCTTTGCAGAAACAATGCCTTACCCATCTGACTTGATCTATCAGAAAAACAGAATCCCCCCCTATCCCATCACAATCAATACTTATATTTTTCTGGAATGGGTATTGCACCAAATGGCTAACACTGTAAATGCTTATGATGATTATGGGTACAATGATTGCTAAAACAAACAGGATGGGAAGAAACAATGATGACAAGAATATAAAAATAAGAAAATAGAAACAAAGAGGTTGTATTTTAGTAAGTGAAACTTTGTGTGATAACATATAAAAATTCCCTTTGAGAGGCCTCATCTCCCTTCTGCTTACTTGGAGCCCAGGCAAAAATTAAGGTGTGTTGTTTTGGTCATGGGGACCCACAAGGAGAAGAATGATGGTTGGTTGGATCTCAAGGTGGGCCAAACTCCCCACAGAAGAAAAACCTTTTTCAATTTCTTGGCCTAACCTTTCCTAACTTGGAGTTCACTTCTTTTGAATAATAAAGGCCCTTGCTTAAACTTAAAGCATGTGAGGGTGAGAAATCTAGAGATTTATTGAAGAGTTTAGTAGATTTTTTTTTGCCCTTTTTGAATTAAATTGGGTAATTAGTAATTGATAGATAGGCAAATTAATCTTTTACTATTAGATGTTAAGAACCCTTTTTTTTTCCTTTTGGTGTTGTATGGCAGCAAGTCATTAATCAAATCAATGATGATAATTGAGGTTTTGTCTGAATGCCAGCCATATGTTTTCTGGCCCATTCTTATCAACTTATCACCTAGTTTTGTTTGACTTTCTTGGAATAGGTACACACAAAAAAAAGGGGGAAGGATTTTTTCTTTATATTCATATTTCTAAAAAAACGATTTTAACTTAAAATTTTAAATATATTTAATTTAATGTTAAGTGTACCTATCCTATGTTTGAATAGTTACATTAGATTTTTTTTTTTCTAAATGAAAAGAAAAAATTATTAACATTGTGAATTTGTTATCTAGATTGAGAGTTGAGACATAGGGGTCTACATGAATCAAGCAATTGCAAGTAGAGTCCAAATTATCTAGCTGCAAATTAAGGTTCAAAACTCTCTTGAAGAACAATTATGAGAACCGCACTAAATATTATATCATATCAGATTGTAAGCCTTACTTGGCCTTGTTTCTAGTTTTTCCACAGCTTCCATAATTGAACCTTGAGCGATGGATTACTTAGGTTGGACTATGCTGAAAAGTAATCGTGTATGGAAACTGTATAGTAATTCGGAGACCGAGTCCATGGCCGCAACAACCTCACCAAAGTTGCAAACAGTTTGACCAGTCACCGAGCCGCTTCGACAAGTTTAAAACCCAGCAGCAACTCGCTCGAGTCCATTCGTTTACAGAGGAAGACAGGCTCGAAACGATAAGTGAGGGCGTTTCAGTGGGGGTGCTCAGTTGTCAGAAAATGGCTCCAGAGAGACCAACAATGCTGGTGGCTGTGGACGATAGTGCGCAAAGTGAGTACGCCTTGGAATGGACCCTTGATCACTTCTTCACTCCTTTTGGCTCCAACCTTCCTTTCCAGCTCGTTGTCATCCATGCCCGACCCCTTCCCTCTTCTGTTGTTGGACTTGCCGGACTTGGTAACATCTTGTTCTTCACGTCTGCTTATTACATTTGGGTTTTGGGTTTCTTTAGGTTTGTTAGTTCGGATAACAGTTAACCCTGTTCAATCAGATCGGTCTATTTGTACGAAGATAACTTGAAAAACAGCTGTGGTAACTTTCTCTGGTGCAGCATCTGCGGAGGTTGTACCAATCATGAACGTTGGCATAAAGAAGACAGCCAGCAGGGTCAAGGACAAAGTGAAAGAGATATGCAGGAATAAATCGGTAAATGACCATTGCAACCTGATAGTTTTGGTATTTTTTCTTTCATTTTTCTCTCGAATATAACGAGAGATAGTTAAGATCTTAAGTATTTTCCTTTTTGAGTGTGCAGTTGAGTGACGTGAGAGTGGAAGTATTGGAAGGTGATCCAAGAAATGTGGTGTGTGAAGCTGTAGAGAAACACCATGCAGCAATCTTGGTACTGGGAAGCCATGGATATGGAACTATGAGAAGGTATTAACTCCATTTTGATTTTAAAAAGGTGGAAGAATGACTACATTTACATTAATTCTCTGCTTCAACAAATGAAGAAATGCAAGTAGTTCTGTTCTTTTCTTTTGAGGAGTCATATTTGATTTAGTGTTCTTTGTCTCCTATTCCACGTGCAGGGCGATTTTGGGCAGTGTCAGTGACTACTGTGCTCACCATGCTCACTGTTCTGTAATGATTGTGAAGAAGCCTAAGCAAGAGGACTGAAGCTCAACTCTGTTTTGAATTTTCCCTGGAATCTTCCAAGCATTCTTCCAATGATTCTTTGATTTTTCTTTTTTCTTTTTATTTTTTTATGTATTTTAATTTCTTAGGGGATTGATTTCTTTTAAAGTAAGCCAAAGTTGGTCGGTCAGTCTTATTTATTGCTCACTTCAGAAACCAATGAAGTTAATGAAGCTTTGTCAACATAAGCAACATAGTGAAGCAATACTCCACGCCTTATCAAATTCTATAGTTGACTAGGAGCAGTTCCACAGCAAACAAAGGGCTTAGAAAAAAAACCATTCCAGACATTAACATCGAATAACTTCTTGACCCAATCAGGCACCTGATGATTCCAAGGTTTCTCATTAGATCCAACAAACATGGCTAATTTTAAGGTTTCTTCACCTGTCATGTACAGAGATATATAAAGGGCGTTGAAACTTAAATGCTGTCAAATCTCTTGCCAAGGTTGAGCAAAAATCATTCCCAAAGACCACACCAATTAAATTAAGAAGGGCAGACAGAACAATGATACAAGTTATTAAGTCACCCCATACGACCGAAAACATTCCATGACCAAGAAAACAACAGTTAAACCAAAACGGCGGCCATAAGGCCTTTAGTCTAGCAGTACAAAAGATAGAAAAGAAGGCAAGAAATAATAATGAAGACTATAACTATAGCAAGCACTTCTGCCTCAAACTCAGCACTTGACCTCCTTCAAAGCATAAGCAAAGTACAAAAATGTTGGATCAACAGCACCATCCTTATAGTAAGCAAACACCAAACAGCCATCATCATGCATGCTCTCTCCCACAAAACTGCAAACAAAACAAACACAAACTTCAATTTCTTTACAAAAACTGAAAAGAATTCCTCAAATACAAGAAGAGTGCAGTGATCAGAAGCACTCACAATTGAAGGTCCTTAAGCTTTGAAAGCAAAAACTTGGTTGCTCCCTCAATGTGTTTTTTAAAGGTTTCAGCATTCTCTCCTTCCAACTTGGGTGTCAAATTCTTAATAAACCTCTTCATGTATGTGACAAACTGCTTCTTGTCGAAAGGAGGTTGCTCCTGCAAACAATACAAATACGTTCTTCATAATCTAGCTCAAAAATTGAAAAACATGAATTGCTTTCAAGAGTAAAAGCAAGCAAGCAACCAACCAACCAACCAACCTGAAGCCTAAAGGTGTCAACGATGTCAACAACCTTCACAGCTTGGTCATCAACACCCTCATCCTCTCCACCTTCAGCAGAAGGATTGGCACCAATGTCAACATCAACAGCTCCTTTCACAACCCACTACAAAGCAGAAAAAGCAGTTATATCCTCCAATTCCCACGACAAACAATCTAAAACTTTAACACAACAAATTCCACAAAAATACCGACCTTTCCCTCAACTTCCCACAGCATCCCATTCTCAATTTCCTTGTATGGGAATGAATCAGAAAGAAGCTCATCGCCTGAAAATCAATTAACATAACAATAAAAAACAAGTCAACAATTCGCTCAACTGAACTCAACTCCACAAACTTCAACACAGTTGCATCAAAAAAATCCCACAACATACACCCAAGCATACTAATAAAAGATCTGTAAATTTTTAGCCTTCAGAAAACGCCAAGATCATGAATTTGAACACCCAAAAGATAAAATTTGTCAATGTTAATTATTCTGCTCACTGGGATTTTTAATTAAAACAAAACAAAACTTTCCTAAGTTAAATCCAGATAGAAACATAACCAAGCATCAAACGAGGAATAAACACAGACCTACAATAAAATCAATCAAAACCCATAAAGATTTCTTACCGCAAAGGAGATCCTGGTAAACCAACATGATTGCAGTCTCTCTCCTTGAGAAATCGAACCTGTGTTAAAGACTTTTGCGTTTGAAGAGAGACGCGAAAGGCGACGAGAGAGCGAGAGGGGGCTTGAAGGAGATTGGACGATTTCTATTTATAAGCGAGGGTTTTGGTAGAGGTTCGGAGCTAAAGGCTAAAGCTAAGCCGACTATTTTGTTTTGCCCTAGTTTGGCATTAGGGATAAGCATGTACTTGACCTGGATAGGATTTGCTGTTGTAACTGTTTGCCACGGATTCTATGTGTGAATAAATAAGTACTGGACCTGTTCATTGGTCATCCGGCCCGATCCAGTCAACCAGCCCAATCTATTTTTACACAGAGTTTGGGCTATCATTTTTGAAGCCTCGCCCAAATTGATGTTGAATTTTCTCTTTTTTTTTCTTAATTAATTTATTAATATTCAATTTTATACGTAATTATATAGGCTTAATAAGTTTTAGTTGAAAAAAATTTTAATGAATATATGGTCAAGGGATAATTCAAGTTGTGTGAACTTGCAATTATAATTGTTTGTGTAAATATAAACATAAAATTACTTTTTACAACATTATAATTGGTAATTTATTTATATGATTGAATTGATTTATATTTATCAATATATATAAATATGTGATTGATTTATTATTAAAAATATTAATTTCACCAATTGATTTTAATTTCATTTTCTCTTTCTTTTCTTTCACACAATTATCAAGATTTGTATCTTGTAAAGTTATTTGATTGATGAATCTATTTCTAATTTTGTTGTAATCGTAATATTTGTTTCATGTGCTAATTTGGATGCTTTGAATATTCTCTTTCATGTGTTTGATATTTTACAAAATTACTTTACTAATATATAATGAAAATGATGGAGTTTAATATCACTCTTAACCCGTTATTGGTAAATTGAGTTTATATTTTTATTAACTCGAATGATTTTCAAATATTCTCTTTCATGCGTTTTATATTATACAAAATTACTTAAATATCCTAAATAAAAAGAAAAGATATATTGAGCCATCAAGTTATAATAGTTTTACCATATTTTACGTTCAATCGTTAGAAATTCACTTTGATTTTAAAAATAATCCATTTTCTTTTTATCTTCTTACTTTTGTTGAGAAGAACTTATAAACAAAGGATCTTCAATCCACTTTTCGATGCATTCTTCCATATTGCTATATTGAAAGAGCCTCTATGTGCCAATTTTTTCAAGTTGGCGACAATTGGGACATTGCATCACACTAATTGAGCTAAATGCAGAACCGATGCAATATGAGAAAGAAAAAAAAATGCATAATAGGAATTATACTATATCGATTTTGTATTTAACATGACTGATTTGGTGCAATGCTTCAATTCTCAACAAGTTGAAAATGCCACATGGAGCGCTTTCAATATATCAATATGGAAGAACACATTGAAAAGTGAATTAAAGATGATATAGAGGAGTTTTTATGGTATAATCCAAGGGTAAGTCAACAAAGATTTCCATTACGCTATAAATATTTATTATGATTCATTTTAACTATAAGAATTATTTGGTGAAGAAACTATCTATGTCTGTCACAACTTGGTTTAAAAATCCATGACTGACGTAAAGACCTAGATGGGTATAGCTCGCTAAACTCAAGCAAGCTTCTTACATTCATTCGTTAATCATAAAATCATGCAAGCTTTAAACATTCATTTCATAAATCATGTAAATTGTGGAAAGGCACCATTACATCATTATGGAATACTGCCTCATAATGAGTGGGGTCACTCATGTGCATATATCATAACATTTCAAAACATTGGAAATCATGTCTTTAATCATGTACTCGCATCTCGGTGCTCAATTGAGCCCTTGGACCATAAAACATAAATCAGCAAAATATGCAGTGTCATGAAAGGCTACAAATCCATAACATGTTTAATATTCATAATATAAATGTAAATAAAGACTGACTCATCAGTAGAACATGAATCGATCTACAACAAAAATATGAGAAATTAACTTATTATTTGGAGGAGTTTCTATGATATAATCCAAGGGTAAGTATTCATATTAACTATAATTCATTTTAGCTATAGGAATTATTTGGTGAGCTAACAATTTTTATCACTGTAAATCTCCCTTCTTTGATCTGTCTCTTTTCCTTACAATATATTATAAAAGTGGAGACTCTGATATTGTCTCTTTCACTCATTTTCTATTGTACAAAATTACTTAAATATTTTGAATAAAAAGGAAAGATATCGTGAATCGTTAATTTATAATAATCTAACGTTATTTTATGTTCAGTCATTATAAATGCACTCAAACCTAAAAAATTATCCATTTTCTTGCTTTTCTAACTTTTGTCGAGAATAACTTCTAAGTGAAGGAATTCTTTCACATGATTATCAAGGTTTGTATCTCGTAAAGTTATTTGATTGTTGAATCTAGTCTATAATTTTATTGTAATCTTAATATTTGTTTCATGCATGTAGATTTTATTAATTTGGATGTTTCGAATATTCTCTGTCACACATTTAATACTCTACAAAATTACTTTACTAATAGATAATGAAAGTAAACAAGTTTGATATCACTCTTAATCTGTTATTGGTAAACTAAATTTATATTTTTATTAACTCGAATAGTTTTCGAATATTCTCTTTCCCGTATTTTTTTATTATATAAAATTACTTAAATATTCTAATAAAAAAATACCGCAAATCGTTAAGTTATGATAGTCAAACATATTTTAAGTTCAGTCGCTATAAATCCATTCTAATCTTAAAAATCATCAATTTTCTCTTTCTTTTCTTACTTTTGTCAAGAAGAAAGCAAAAACAAAGTCGCACAATGGTTCAATCACAATTGTCGGATGCATCCTTCAAGAAAATTGAACAGCGAATGCTCAACCCTTCAACAGTTTCTACGACAAAACACTCACTCAATCTCGCACACATAGACATAATTGGAAAAGCTTCATTGGGCAAATGGTTTGATAACTTGTAAGCGAAAGAATTCTTCCACAAGATTATCAAAGTTCGTATCTTGTATAGTTATTTGATTTTTGATTTTTTTTATAATTTTGTTATAATCTTAATACTTGTTTGATGTATTTAGAGATATAGAATTCTTTTTTCTTTTCGTTTTAGTTCATACTTCTCCATACGTACGATCTTTATTATAAACTAGAGGTAGAGATTTCTCTTTCTTTTTTTTTGTTTTAATCGATACTTCTCCAAATGTACGATCTTTACTACAGATTGAAGATAACGATTTTCTTTTTCATTTTTGTTTTAATTTGTACTTCTCTAAATATTTGATATTTACAATATATTATTTTTTATATTGTAGAAAAAAAATAGTTTGCGATTCTTATTTTTCTTAATGGATTTAAAATTATAGTTGTGTTTTTAATTGGATCTAAGGCAACGATGGGAAAAGATAAAAGTTAAATTCCAGTTTTGTGATTTTTCTTCAATTTTTTATATTTTTTAAAATTGTTATTACTTGGATTTTCTCCTTAATTCTTTTACTTCATTTGATTATTATCTTTTTTTTTAAAAAAATAATTTTAATTTCCTTTTTTTTAATTAAAAAAGTAATTTTCCCATAAAAACTAACAAGTAATTTTTTGTTTTTTACATGCACTTGCTTGCGTCATTACAAAATTCTTCTTACTTTAACCAACCCACCAAACCCCTTTTGATTCTTCCTTGTTCCTTTAACTCACCACACGTGCAAGAAGAACTACATAGTAATTTATCTTTTGACAACCATGCATTACACCTGACCTGCCAAATCCAGTATGTCAGAATCCAATTGCATTAGTGGCAGATACACTTTCCATTTCAAGAATTGGATCGGATACACCTTCCATTTCAAGAATTGCATCAGATACATCTTCCATTTCAAGAATTGCATCAGATACACCTTCCTTCCATGGAAACGCAGGTCCAATGCTGCTTTGCAAATCATACGTTGCATGCATGGGAGGCCTCCCCTATAAATACCATTTGTCATCTGCGAGTGAATGAGTAAGAAAAAGAAAAAGAGAGAAAAACAAACATCAGAGTTAGTGCTTTGGAATGGCCACCGCTACAGGGTCGATAGTTTGCTGTTCGATTTGCTTAGAGGAGGCATCTGACAATTGTGATCGAACTATTGTGCGACTTCGATGTTCGCATGTTTTTCACCTTGGTAAAATCTTTGTCGGTTTTCTATTATTATTATTATCATAAAATAGGGATTTAGATTTTGTATTTTTTGGGTTTATTTTTCTATTGGGTTTCGATTTTAGTGATAAATTTGCTACTTTTAAGTTGATAATAATTCCCAGAAAAGATCATAAGTTTAGTGCAGATATTGTATGGCTGTTTGTTGTTTTATGTTGTTGGTTATGGTGTGGTGATGTGGTTCTATTTTTTTTGGTCTGATGCCCTGCAAGTTATTAATGGTTTTATTTTTTTTTTTATGCTTTTTTGCTTATGGAAGCTATGTTGTTTGATATGGAGCCCTTTTTATATAATTTGGAGCCAGTATTCGTAGAAATCTTAAACAGGGATTTGCTCATGGTTTGACCTTGATGTTGATCCGGTTCTATACTGTTAGCTATTGGGGGAAGTATTTTTATTATTGTCTCTGTTTATGTGGGGCAGTGTTTCTTTTATATGGGTGTTTTGTTCAAATATCCTTATATTGTTATTTAGATTGTTGGATTCATCAGTTTGACTATTGCTAGTAAGTTGAAATCTTTTCATTACTTGTGTCTCCATACGCTAATTCCCATTGTGCATTTGCTTTTTCTTTCTTTCTCAGACTGCATCGGTTCTACCTTTAACTCGACGGGTGTGATGCGATGCCCTAATTGCCGACAAATTGAAAATGGCACTTGGAGGCGCTTTGGTTATTGGAATATGCAAGACTTGGGTGAAGAGTATTGGATTAACGATGATGTGGAAGACATTGTCTGGTATAATCCAAGGGTAAGTATCTCAATGGAAATGTACTTGTGTGGAAAAGATTGGGTCTTTTTGATTTGTTATAATGCCTTTTTGTCCAAAACTAAAAAGGTTTCATCTCTTTAAAATGTAGGCAGTAAACTTTTCCATTTGTTTACTGTTGTAGTCCTTTTTGTCTCCAAAAGCTTTTATCTTTCACTAAGATAGTGGGGATGTATATCTAGTATATGTGAAAGTCGGGGAGGAAAAAAGGAATCCCATTGCTCATCAATCATTTGCTTGATGTGACTACCATTTGCAGATCTGTGACTTTTGATAGCTAAAATATTTAGCCTTGATGTTAAGCTTGGCAGTCATCAAATTGTTGTGGATGTGATGTTATCATTTTATGTGTATGTGTTTGTGTATAGTTTATGTTTCTTTTCTTTGGGGTTAATTCTCTTCCCTCATTGTGTTCTTTTGCATGCTTTCAGCCACGAACTGAGGAGGCTGCATTCCATTCTGACGAATGGTAAGCAAGCATGTTTATTTAGTGTGAGAGTAATTTTTTTAGCTATTTTACTTTCTTTCGCAATTGATATATAATGAGAGATTGTTAAGATCATATGAACATGAAACTTATTCTATCAGAAGAAGAAAGAACATGAAACTTATCATTAGGGGAGCTGGTAGGCCTAATTTATATTTGACAGTTGAGTTATTGTTTGGCATATTGAACACATTTTTTTTATTGGAATTTTGCAAAGGAAGGAATTTGCTTTGAACTTTGATCTTCTTTGGTTCTTTTATTCCTTACATTATAGGAGCACTAGCTCCCATATATCTCACATTGATGTTTTATATACTACAGGGCTAGGAGATTATCAGTAGCCCATGGGTGTAAGTTGTTGGCAATTTATGTTTTTGTATTTTGTTAATGACAAAAATGATGGAGCAATCTCTCACAAACATTTCCTAGCAAACACTTTTTTTGGTGTAGATAATCGCGGGGTTGAGCACAGTGAGGTTGTTGGTTCCAATGACATCTATCGTCATTCTCCTTTTAGGGGTGGAGTTGCAGAATTTAGTACCAATCAGGTTACAACTAGATTTGCATCCTCTGGGCATGCAGCACAAATGGAGTCTGCTGGTCATCTATTTGCTCATGATAATCAAGGGTTAGCATTGGTAGAATTTGAACAATCATTGTCCTCACATACATGTTACATGTACCTGCTCAACCTTCTATATTTTCTTAATTCTTCTATTTGTTTGCCATAGTTCATCATCACCAGCCATACTTGCTTCAATGACAAATGGTCCAATCCATGATAACTTTCAATGGTCACGACCATTTGGCAATTCACCACCACCGGCATTACATGCTTCAATGGCGTCTGGCTGGGGGGTGATCACTGGATTTATGGGGCATACATCCAATGGGATTCAATTAGATCATGCAGGTCCGTCTTCATCAGTACAGATTGGGTTTCCATTCCATGTATCATCATCTGAACAGACTACGGACCTCTTTCACGAAAGCAACGTAGATTCTGCAGCTAAGCTAAGCAGGAAATATGAACAGTGGTTTGCAGAACAATCTAGAGATTAATTTATTCCTTGGAATGCATGTGGCATACCCAGAAAGATATTGCTCAAAATCTTCCAGATGTGGCTTCCATGAGCATAGCCTCTCAGAATGGACCCCAGGAAGCAATTGATTTAACTTAACCTTCACAAAAAGGGGAATGGGATGTCGCTATATCTAATGAATATGCGTTGAGGGAGATGGATCATGGGATTCAGTTGGATCATGCAAGGTCATCTTCATCAGTACAGACTGGGTTTCCATTCCATGCATTATCATCTGAAAACACTACAGACCTCTTCCATGAAAGCAACATAGATTTTGTAACTGAGCTAAGTATGAAATATGAACAGTGGCTTACAGAATAGTCCAAGATTAATTTGTTCCTTGGAATGCATGCAGCATACCTAGAAGATATTGCCCTCAATCTTCCAAACATGGCTTCCATGAGCATAGCCTCTCAGAATGAACCCCAATAAGCAATTGATCTAGCTCAACCTTCACAAGAAGGGGAAGGGGATGTCGCTGGTTCTAATGAATATATGTTGAGGGAGATTTCTCCTTCTTGTGGAATAATGTGCTGAGGAAGCCTTAGGAATGAACATCCCTGACATGCTTAGTCCTGTCGTCAGGATGCTACTGCATACACAATATACACAATAGGACTCCTCTAAGAATGTATCATTTGCTAGTTCAAATGGTTTCCATTGTTTCCATAATCTTGATTCCTGAAGCAATATCCAAACCATTTGATCAATTTATCAGGTTGAAACTTTATATAAAGCAATATACATATAGAACTCCCTAAAAATGTATCATTTACTAGTCCAAATGGTTTCTATTGTTTCCACAATCTCGATTCTTGAATCAATATCCAAACCATTTGGTCAATTTATCAGCTTGAAACTTGTTTGAAGCAATATTCACAATAAGAGTCCTTAAGAATGTATCATTTGCTAGTTCAAATGGTCTCTTTTGTTTCCACAATCTCAAATCTTGAGGCAATATCCAAACCATTTGGTCAATTTATTAGCTTGAAACTTTGTTTGAAGCAATGTACGCAATAGGACTCTCTAAGAATGTGGCATCTGCAAGTTCAAATGGTCTCCATTGTTTCCACAATCTCGATTCCTGAAGTAATATCCAAACCATTTGATCAATTTATCAACTTGAAACTTTGTTTGAGCACTTTATGTGTAATTATATGTACTTAATAAGTTTTGATTGAAATAAAATTTAATGAATATATTTGTTAGGTAATAATTCAAGTTGTGTGACCTAGCAATTATAATTGTTTGTGTAAATATAAATATAAAATCACTTTTTACAAAATTATTTCCACCTTATTTTTTATTTGATTTGATTATAGTCTTTATTTTTTTAAAAAATAATTTTAATTCCCTTTTCTAACATAAAAAAGTAATTTAATTTTAGTTTTTTACACGTACTTGCTTACGTCATAAAAAGCCAGCCTACTCAAACTCATCTCATTTCCGTTACGCTCATGAATCATGAGTCAAGCCACTAACCCCCTTCCTTATTTGGACACAAGCAATAGTGCATTACTTCTTTGTTCTTTTTGACTCACTGCACGCGTGGGAAGAAATACATGGTAATTTTTCTTCAGACAACCATGCATTGCACCTGACTGGCCAAGTCTAGGATTTTAGAATCCAAATGCATTAGTGGCAGATATACCTTCCATTTCAAGAATTGGATAACAAAAACAATAAGAAACCTTCCTTCCATGGAAACACAGTGGGGTGGGGGGCTTGAATGCAGTATATATACCTTCTTTCTTCTTTCTAAATTCTATTTGTGTGAGTGAAAGAAGGACAAACGACTGATTTGAGTATTGGCCATGGCATCAGTTGAAGAGTTGTGCTCAATTTGCTTTGAAGATGCATCCGATATCAGTGACCGAACCATCGTCCGACTTCGATGCTCTCATGTTTTTCACCTCGGTAAAATCTTTATTTCTGATTTTTATTTATAAATAAGGATTTAGATTTTGTGTTTTTCTGATTTATTTCTCTATTGGGTTTCATTTTTTAATGCTGAATTTTCTATTTGTAAATATTGTTATTAAGATTGTTGGATTCATCCTTTTCACTATTGCTAGTAGCTTGAAATTTCTTTCATTATGTTTCAATCTATTCATAAAAATAAAATCATTCACATGAAGGAGATTTAGTCATTCTTTGTAGAAATTAAATAATTTGCTATATATAACAAAGAAAAAAAAGGAAACCTTGTTGGATATGTGAAACAACATGTTTCTTAGTTCTTGAAATCTTTGAATTCATGACCCAATGCTTACTTTTATCTCCACATGCTTATTCCCATCATGCATTAACTTTTTCTTTATTTCTCAGACTGTATCGGTTCAGCATTTAACTCAAATGGTGTGATGCAATGCCCTAACTGCCGACAACTTGAAAATGGCACTTGGCGGCGCTTCCCACATATCAATATGGAAGAAACCACTTATGAAGAGTGGGCTGAAGATGATCGTGAGCAGTTTCCTTGGTACAATCCAAGTGTAAGTAACAAAGATTTCCATTACTCATAAATATTTACTATTATTCATTTTAACTATAAGAATGAACTTTCTGTGTCACTGCAAATCTTCCTTCTTTGATCTGTGATATTTCCTTACAATATATAGCTGAAGTGGAGACTAAGACTTTATATTGAAGGAATAAGTTTCTCAATGAAAATGTGTTTTTGTGAAAAAGATTGGGTCTCTATGATTAATTATAATGCTTTCTTGTCCAAAACTAAAAAGGTTTTGTCTTTTTAAAATATAGGAAGGAAACTTTTCCATTTGTTTATTGTTGTAGGGTTTAAGGTTTAGGGATAATGGGGATCAATGTATATCTAGCTAATGTGAGGAATGAAGGAATCCCATTGCTCATCAACCATTTGCTTGATGTGATTACCATGTGCAGATCTATGTCATTTGATTGCTAGAATATTTGGCCTTGATGCCAGGCTTGGCAGTCATCAAGTTGTTTTGGATGTGATGTTATCATCATGTGTGTGTGTATAGTTTATGTTTCATTTATTTGGGATTAATTCTTTCCCCTCATCATGTTCTTTTGCATGTTTTCAGCCACAATATGAGAGGCCTACATCCCATTTGGAAGAATGGTAAGCAAGCATGTTTACTTAGCGTGAGAGTAATTATTAAGTTATTTTGCTTTCATTCGTAATTGATATATAACGAAAGATAGTTAAGATCATTTGAACATGAAACTTATCATTAAGGGAGCTAGTAGACCGTACATAGACCTAATTTATCTTCCTTAGTTCTTTTATAATTCCTTACATTATTGGAGCATTAGCTCTCATATATCTCAGACTGATGTTTTGTATTCTGCAGGGCTAGGAGAACATTGCTAGTCCATTTGGGTAAGTTGTTGGCAATTTATGTTTTTTTGTTCTTTTTGGTAATGACAAGAATGATGAAGTAATCTTTCACAAGCATTTCCTGACAAACACTTGTTTTGGTGTAGATCTAAGTATTAATAATCAAAGGGGTGGGCGCAGTGAGGTTGCTAGTTCCAATGACGTCCATCGTCATTCTCCTTTAACGGGAGGAGCTATTGAATTTAGAGCCAATCAGGCTACAACAGGATTTGCATCCTCTGGGCCTGTAGCAGAGATGGAATCTGCTAGTCCTCTGTTTGCTCGTGATAATCAGGGGTTAGCATTAGTAGAATCTGAACAATTATTTTTCTTACACACATGTTACATGTGCCTGTTCAACCTTTTATATTTTCTTAATTTTTAATTTGTTTGCCACAGTTCATCATCACCAGCCATACCTGCTTTAGTGACAAATGCCTCTGCAGCATACCCCATAGAAGATGCTACTGTGAATCTACCCGACGTGGCTTCCATGTGTGTAGCCTCTCAGAATGAACCCCAGGAAGCAATTGATCCAGCTCAACCTTTACAAGAAAGGGAAGGGGATGCTGCTGCATCGAATGAATAAGCATTAAGGCAGATGGATCCTTCTTGTGCAGCGATGTGCAAGTAAGCCTTTGGAATGAACATCCTTAACATGCTTAGCTTGTTGCCAAGATGCTACTGCACGCACAATATGCACAATCTCTAATACAGTGAGGGACTCCCCTAAGAATGTTATGAATGTGGTTTCATTATTTTGCGAACAAATGTATGTATGATCCTATTGGTAGTTAGAGGCTTTAAGAGTTCCTTTTTCTATTTGTAGAGGAAGCCATGGCAAGGCCTGTCCTGCTAAAGGCTCTTAGCATCACTTACCAGTTGGGGTAGTATTTTGTAATTTTGTAAATATAAATATAAAAGCACTTTTTTACAAAATTTTAATTGGTAATTTATTTATACGATTAAATTGATTTTATATTTATTAATATGTGATTGATTTAATATTACTAAATGATTTTAAATTTCAATTATGTAAAAACTAAAAATTTTATTTATTTAGAAATTTCAACTTAATTGTCAACAAAATATTAATTACTAATATACTATATATAATTTCATCAATATTTAAATTTTTCAATATGAAATATATTATAAAAAATATTCTTGTTTTATTTAAAATAACACCAAAGTCATGTTGTTTAATAACGAATTATTTTATTATATTTAACGTGCCCTTGAATTTACCTTAAGAAAAAATTTTAAGAATAAAAGAGATTTACCTTGACCTGACCAACCCCCTTAAAAAAAAAACAAAAAGATTTGCTTAAGATAAAAATTGAAAAATAATTGATTTTTTATTTATAATAATATATAATGAGAATGAGTTTGATGTCACTCTTAACTCTTTATTGTTAAATTAAGTTTATATTTTTATTAACTCGGATGATTCAAATATTCTTTTTTACGCATTTGATACTCAACAAAATTTCTTTAATAATATATAATGAAAGTAATCGAGTTTGATATCACTCTTAACTTGCTATTATTAAATTGAGTTCATATTTTTATTAATTCGAATAATTTTCGAATATTCTCTTTCATGTGTTTTCTATTATATAAAATTACTTAAATATTCTACATAAAAAGGAAAGATATCTTAAACCGTTAGCTTATAATAGTCCTACCATATTTTGCATTTGGCCGCTATAAATCGACTTTAATATTAAAAATCATGTATTTTCTCTTTCTTTTTTTACTTTTGTTGAGGAGAACTTCTAAGCAAAGGCCGGTGCACTCTTCCATGCATTCTTTCAGATTGATGTACTGAAAGCGCCGCCTTGTGCCATTTTTAAGTTGACGACAATTAGGGCATTCCATCACACCAGTCTAGTTAAAGGCAGAACAGATGTAATATAAGAAAGATAGAAAAATAAATGCACGATGGTTTGATGAAATGCCCAAGTGTGGACAAGTTGAAAATGGCACGTGGGGCCTTTCAGTATATCAATATGGAAGAAGGCATTGAAGAGTGGACTGAAGATGATCTGAAGGAGCTTGTTTAGTACAATCTAAGGGTAAGTAAACGAAGATTTTCATTATTCATAAATATTTATTATAATTCATTTTAGCTATAGGAATTATTTGGTGATCAAACTATCTATTTCATTGTGAATTTTTGTCTTGAAGGAATAAGCATCTCAATGAAAATTTGCTGCTGTGAAAGAGATTGGGTCTTTTTGATTGATTTTAATTCCTTCTTGTCCAAAACAAAAAAGGGTTTCATCTCATAGATTGTTTTGATTCTTGAGTGATACTAGGATGATCATTTTTCTTATGATTTTTCTGATACTGATGATAGAGGTTGGAAGTAGAGATGAGTTTTGTATAGCAAATGTATAGCTAATCTTTTGGAGTGTCTTTAGGGTTCTTGTTGATGGAATCTCTTGTTTTAGATCTGTTTTGCTTACGTGTTGTTGCTATTTTAGAGCACTCTTTTTATAGGTTTCTGATTATAATTCTACAAGGAACTCTTTATTCCCTGTTTGTTTTATGAAGCATTTATCTTAAAAAAAAAGCAAAAAAGTTTCATCTTTTTAAAATGTAGGAAGAAAACTTTTTGATTTGTTTACTATTGTAGTCCTATTTGTACCCCAAAACTTTTATCTTTTACTGGGATAGTAGGGATGTATATCTAGCTAATGTGAAGAAAGAAAGAATCCCATTGCTCATCAACCATTTGCTTGATGTGATTACCATTTGCAGATCTATGTAGTTTGATTGCTTGAATATTTGGCCTTGATGTTAGTCTTGGCAATCATCAAATTGTTTGGAAGTGATGTTATTGTTATATATATATATATATATATATATATATATATATATATATATGTCAACCACAAGAAAAAGAATTCAAGAGTGAGGCACTTAAGCATATGAATTCAAGCACTTATAAAATGGACTAAATTTAGGAGATCATAACTTATTTCATTCTATGCATAATCAAACCTTTGTTATCAGCAGCAAGAAAATAATTGCTCATTTTTCTAGTTGGACTAATTCTTTTCTTAAATTATAACCTTTTATTAACGTTGTAAGTCTATTAGTGCAGGGCATCTGTCAAATTCGTATTTACATTATTTACTAGCTGCCAGGGATGTTCATTCCAAAGGCACACTCGCACATCACTACACAAGAAGGATCCATCTCCTTCGACGCATATTCATTAGAAGCAACGACATCCCCTTTTCTTTCTTGTAAAGGTTGAGTTGGATCGATTGCTTCTTGTGGTTCATTTTGAGAGGCTATGTTCATGGAAGCCACGTCGGGAAGATTCACGATAGCATCTTCTATGAGGTAAATTGCATGCATTCCAAGGAACAAATCTCCTAACTGTTCTGTAAGTCACTGTTCATATTTCCTGTTTAGCTCAGTTACAGGCACTGCGTTACTTTCATGGAAAAGGTTCATCATCTATTTAGATGATGATGCATGGAATGGAAACCCAGTTTGTACAGATAAAGACAACCCTGCATGATTCAACCAAAGCCCATTGGTTCTATTCCCCATAAATCCATTGATCTCTTTCTTGTTAGACGTCATTGAAGCTCGTACTGCTGGTGATAATGAATTGTCAAATGGTTGCGGCCACTAAAAGTTATCATACATTGGACCGTTTCCATGACTGCAAGACAAACTAAGTGAAGTATTAACTGGAAGCCTGTTGCTTTCACTCCCTAGATAGCGATTGGTTGTAGAGCCATACACTATTGAATCAGGTATGGCTACTAATGAGGAACTACTAAATCGTTGCATCCTTGAGAAAATTGAACCATTTCTATCACTAAGTCCACCAAAAAGCAAACAAATCGAAAAATTAAGAAAGTGTAAAAGGTTGAACAGGCATATGTAACATGTATGCAAGAAATATAATTGTTTAGAATCGACAAGCACTTAATTCTTCTTACTAATGATAATCAGTTGTTACCATTAGCAGAAGCTGAACAATTATTTTTCTTGCATACATGTTACATGTACCTGCTCAACCTTTTATACTTTCTTAATTCTTTGATCTATTTGCCTTTTGATGGACTTGATGATAGAAATGGTTCAATTTTCCCAAAGATGCAACGATTTAGCAATTCATCATCACCAGCCATACCTGTTTTAATGACGTATGGCTTTGCAGCCAATGGTGTTCTGAGGATTGAAAACGATAGGCTTCGAGTTGATACTTCACTGGGCTTATCTTGTGGTTTTGGAAATGGTCTAATGTGTGAGAACTTTCAGTGGTTGCGACCATTTGGCGATTCACCATCACCAACAGTACGTGCTTCAATGGCATCTGGCAAGGAGATGATTAATGGATTTATGGGAAATAAAACCAATGGGCTTTAGCTGGATCATGCAGGGTCATCTTCATTTGTACAGACTGAGTTTCCATTCCATGCATCATCATCTGAATAGATTGCAAACCTTTGCCATGAAAGCAAGGCAGTTGAGCTAAACAAGAAATATGAAAAGTGGCTTGCAGAATAGTCTAAAGATTTCTTCCATGGAACGCATGCAACATACCCCATGGAAAATGCTGCTGTGAATCTTCTTGATTTGGCTTCCATGAGCATAGCCTCTCAGAATGAATCCCAGGAAGCAATTGATCCAGCTCAACCTTTACAAGAAAGGGAAGGGGGGATGCTACATCGGATGAATATGCAATGGGGGCAACGGATCCTTCTTGTGCAGCGATGTGCGAGTAAGCCTTTGGAATGAACATCCGTAGCAGCTAGTAAATAAAGGCATGGCTCCTAGGGCGATAGAGCTCCAAGCAAACGCTGAACGGAACTCTGCCATCCAGAAGCTGAACAAAACTCTGCAATCTGGTAATAATATTGTTGGTTTTCCTTTCGACATTTCATAATACTTGTAAAACTGACTATTGGCCTATTATTTACGGCCTTGGGAGTTGTTTAAACCTTCTATTTGATACTATATGATTTGGCTATTTGATGAATTAATTTGCATGGTTTTTCCTTTTTACTATAGTGACTTTGACGTTGGCTAGAAGAGCACACGTAGAACATTATGTTAAAAGTGTATGATATTTCATTATAAATATTCTCTATCTTATTTTAGTACATGATTTGGTATTTTTTTTTCATAATTTTAAGTTACGTGTTTAGTTTTTTATTATTAATTGAAGTTTAATATACGAAGTTTATTAAACAAGTAATGTAAAATTATGAAAAAAATACCAAGCAAGATATCAAATAAGAGAGAGAATTTCTGCTCCTTGGAATAATAACTTGTTGTAGAATGTGAGTTTGGCATTTTACTGCCCTTTTTTCCACCGTTATGGCTCATTGGCTTGTCAGGCATATCCAGGGGTACCAAGCACTATACTAATTGAAACCTACCCGGCGATGGCTCCTCCATGTGCTGGTGGCATGGTGATTTGGTGCTCTGAAAAGCAATGTTTTTTGAGGGAAATTTGACATGTTTGAGTTCAGCATTTCAAGTTGCATTTCAATAATCAAATCAATCAGACAACCAAGAACTTGCTGACTGTGGGCTTTAAAGTTTGAATTTTTCTTCTTACTAAATTGGTTGGGTAAGTGTTGGGAAAGCCTTTATAAGCTCTCGCATTGGGTTTCAAAAAGAAAACCCAAAAGACAGGCCCATCTTCTTGTTGCCAATAAATAATTGCTTTTAAAATTTGGACGACAAAGTCTACATTTTTTCAGAAGAAAATCCATTGACAAGCTCCTCTCTTTATAAGGAAAACCATTTAAGCGGGAAAACAAAAAATTTCAAAGAAACTCAACGAACACAGGGCTAACCATTTTTCCAGAAACAGAGAAACTCTCCCAACTCAAAATCCCCCCACTGAATTTCTAAGAGCCACCGCCATGGAAGAAACCATAGCAAGAATCCTCACAGACCTTGAAAAAATCAATCAAATCCCAAACACTCAAAGCCAATCTCTGGTCATTTCTCGCTCTACTCTCTTAGATCTCCAATCCCTTTTATCCACAAACGACCCAGGCCTCCTTTCCCAGTTCTTCGATGACCTCCCTTCGAAAAGTCTCTCTCCTTCTTCTCTCACTAACTCATTATCTTTCACGATGGATTCTGCCCCCTCCCATCGTCTCTCTCTCTTAGCTTCCAAAGTCTACCTCTCTCTTCTTCTCTCCCCAAATTCCCCTGTTTTCACTCTCTTCACTCCCATTTCCTTCCTTTCTCTCCTCCGCTCCCTTCGTCGTGCTTTCAAAAACCGTCCTTTAGCCCAACCTGATGAGTCGCCCCCTTCCCAGGTGCCGCCTAATCGGAAGAGGAAGGGTGGGGGGAAGGGTCGTGGAAAACGGAGTAACGTCAGGAGGTCGGGGGGTCATAGTGAAGGAGAGAGTGAAGAGAGTGACTCTCTGGATATAAAGGAAGTCTTCTTTGTGTTTGAAATGTTGGTTTCTGTTTTGGGTTTGATTCATTTGGATAGGTTTCCTGATAGTTTGAAGTCTTTGATACAAACTGTAGGTGAAATTCCTTTGATGGCAATGGAAAAGTTTGGGAATTTGGGTAGTTTTAATCGGTTAATGCATTTGTGTTCGTGGGTTTTGAGTGAAGTGTTGAGGTCTGAACATGGAGAGATGGCTAATACTGCAGCTGAGGTTTTGAAAGCTTTATCACCATTGATCTTAATGGTTAAATCACAAGCAAGAAGCTTCGCATTGGGGTTTGTGACAAACACCATGATCGAATTGGGAAATGAGAGTGACGGTGTTAAGAAAGCTGTTGTTAATTTTCCTAGGTATTTGGCTCAGAAGGCGCCTGAGAAAGCTGAGCCGCGGGCTTTGGCTGTGGATTCGATTATGGAGGTTGTTAAAGTGATGGAATTTGATGATCAAATGGGGTATATAGCGTATGTGGTGAAGATGACTCAAGGGAAGGCTAATTTGAGGCTGTTAGGTGTTGATCTTATTGCAATGATGTTAATGTCATTGACGGATCCTTTAGGGGTGGATTCGGATGTTGAAGTAAGGGATCCTTGGGGAACAAGGTGTTTGGGAGCTTTGATTCTGAGATGTTCTGATTTGAGTGCTGGAATTCGTGCTCGAGCCCTATCAAGCTTGGCACAAGTTGTGGGGTTTTTATCTGGTGATGATAGGAACAAAGGTATTTTGAAGGAAGTGATGGGGTTCGGTGAAGGTGGGGAGGAGAGGCCAGAGGGTGGAATGAATGATCTTTTGAGGAAGAGGTGTACGGATGAGAAGGCAGCTGTTAGGAAGGCAGCGCTTCTTCTGGTTACCAAGCTGACAACCCTTTTAAGTGGTTCTTTTGACGGAGTCGTGCTCAAGACCATGGGTATGGCTTGTTCAGATCCACTTGTTAGCATCCGTAAAGCTGCCATTTCAGCTCTTTCTGAGGTTAATTTACTTCTGTGCTTCACATTGTTTCCTTGTTCAAATATGTTTCTTTATTCTCTTATTATGCACATTATGATGTTCAATTAGTTTATGATGCTCATTTGACTTCAATCAGGAGTACATGCTTTTGTGATGATTTGATTCTTAATCAATGATTCAATGAACAGAATGATGTTGAATTTGTTTACTTAATTGTATAAGTTCTTTCTTATGCATTTCTCCATCTAATGTTGAATTTTGCATTAACTTTGCAGGCCTTCAGGACATTTTCAGATGAAAGTGTGACAACTGAGTGGCTACATTCTGTTCCACGTTTAATAAGAGATAATGAATCTAGCATTCAAGAAGAATGTGAGAACTTGTTCTTGGAATTGGTTTTGGACCGGGTGTCTAGGGCAGGATCAGCTTGCCCAACCAAGAAAGGATCTATTTTGCCTGATTCAAATTTAACAGCCCAAAGTGTAGAAAGGGAGATGGAATTGTTATTCCCTGAAGGGGTATTAGGTCTTTTGCAAGTCATCTGCGATGGGGAGGTGGCTCCATGGGTGAAGAAAATTTGCACAAGCCTGGGTACAAAGAGACGACTGAAGCCCAAGATTGCTAGTGCTCTTCAAAATATTATAAGGACATCTGAATCTCTCTGGTTGAGCCATTCCATGCCAATTGAGAAGTGGACAGCCCCAGCTGGTGCTTGGTTTCTTCTATCGGAAGTGTCCGCATATCTTTCAAAAGCTGTGGACTGGGAATTCCTCCATCACCACTGGCAGCTCCTTGACAAGCATGGAGCAGAAGGTGAGTTCCAAAGCCCACTTAGGCAAGGGAATGGAGATGAAGAGCGCATAGAATCCAAATCAGTTGCATGGGCAGGAGATCGTGTTTTCCTCTTGCAAACCATCTCAAATGTTTCTGTGGAGTTGCCTGCTGAACCTGCTGCTGATTTAGCCCATAACTTGCTTAAAAGAGTTGAAAAATTCAGTATGCATTCCACAGAGGTATTTATCGTTGTGTACACTGATAAACTTGAGAAATGCAGCAATGATTTGTTTGTTTTCCTCTGTGGACCTTTTCCTTCCATTTTGGGCAATATGCTAGTGTGTATGCAGTTACGGGGTTAAATGCTATACTTTATCAAGTGGCTGAATAATAATATATACATATGCATAATCAGCTGGACTATTTGATGACAGGTTAATGCCCATGTAAAAGCTCTTAGAACATTGTGCAAGCGGAAGGCTTTAAATCCTAAGGAGGCTGATCAACTTGTCGTGAAATGGGGACAGCAGCTTCTGTCTAAAGCATGTAAAATTCTAGAAAAGTACATTTCTGAGAGTAAAGAAGCAAAAAAAAGTAATTGTTTCTTTACACCACCAAGAAGTGGTAGTAGAAAAGGCAAGCAAGCAACAAGCGCTTCCAGGCTACTGTCAAAAGCAGTCACCGCTGTTTATACTGTTGGGTCTTTGGTTGTTGTCTGTCCTTCTGCTGATGTGAGCACCATTGTTCCACTATTATACACAGTAATAACTTCAGGGAATTCCAATCCAAAGTTAAATAAATTACCAGGGCCTATGGTATCTTTGAAGCAGACTGCCCCTTCTTTGTATATTCAAGCGTGGTTGACAATGGGGAAGATTTGCCTGGCTGATGGGAAACTTGCAAAAAGTTATATTCCTCTCTTTGTGCAGGTCTATTCATCAAACAAGTAGCTTGTCTAGTCTATGCTCTGAAATTCTAAGTTACAAACTAGATAGGTTTTTGTATGAGTTCTGTTAACATTTTGCAATCCATGATTCTTCAAAGTGACGTCTCCCTCTGCTTTTATTAGAAATCCTAGTTTATACCAGTTTTTCATTCATTCATATTTGTGCAACTTACATGCAAAACATTTATAAGCATAGCCAGCAGCATCAATTGTTAGATTACGTAGAAGGTCCCTAAATTATTTCCAAGCATAATGCTTATGCTCTTCTCTAAAATGCATTTTTTTCCCCCCATTGTTTCCAAGTTATTCCTACAGTATTTCTCATTGTCATTAGTTCCAAATAGAATCTGCTAACAATGTTAACCATGTATTTTGAAAAGCAGGAACTTGAAAAGAGCGATTGTGCAGCCCTTCGCAACAACCTTGTTGTGATGATGGCAGATTTTTGTGTTCGCTATACTGCTCTAGTTGATTGGTGAGTCCTCTAGAAATTTAATAGAAATAAGCTTACTTGGGTAGTTTCCTCATAAGCAACTAATTATTCAATAGTCAAACTAGCAATTGAGATGAGAGTGAAATGAAAGAAAAAATGTAGCAAGGAATTGTTTTCTACGAGACTGTTTGCTGTCCTAATGAACAATTCTTGAAGTTTACAGTTATATACCAAAGATCACCAAGTGTCTCCGTGATCCATGTGAACTTGTCAGAAGGCAGACTTTTATACTGCTCTCAAGGTTGTTACAGGTAACTTCCTGTCCCTTGTTTTCTTCACATGTGATATTATCTTACCAGCCGTTTTAATGTTATAATTTGTTCTTACATCCAGAGGGACTATGTGAAGTGGAGAGGAGTGCTATTCCTTCGGTTCCTTCTGTGTCTTGTTGATGAATCAGAAAAGATACGACAACTTGCTGATTTTCTCTTTGGAAGTATTTTGAAAGGTAAGTAGTTTTACAATTCATTGTAACATTATTGAAGTTGGTAATATGTGTTGATTGGATTTACTTTTCTGTATGATTTGGTTCCAGCGAAAGCTCCTCTTCTAGCTTACAACAGTTTTGTGGAAGCCATTTATGTTCTGAATGACTGCCATGCTCACAATGGACATAATGATTCTATGAATTCACAGACAGAGAGTCAACTTTTCTCCATCAGGTACTCATGTCTTCATTCAGCCTTGAGAACAAGAATTTCTGTGATTGAGGCACATGTTTATGATCTACTCAGTGTTTTTTCCTTGATTAAATGTATTGTATTTTATTGTTTCCAGGGGTAATGATGATAGGTCCAGATCTAAAAGGATGCGTGTCTATGTGTGTTTGCTGAAACAAATGGCTGCAGAGCACCTTTTGGCCACTTTTGCGAAGTTATGTGCAGAGATTCTTGCAGCTGCATCAGATGGTATGCTCAATATAGACGATATAACTGGACAGTCCGTTCTGCAGGTACTAATCATCTGGCACAGTTGTAAAGTTTGTCTGCCCAAGATTCTTGGCACTTTTCTTTTATATAATGCAATGATAGCAGCCAAACTTCTAGCTAGTGAATTTTAATTTGTAACTTTCTTGTTACTCATAATTCCCATGCAAAACATTTCTTGATTGTTGAGGGAGCAGGATGCTTTCCAAATTCTTGCCTGCAAAGAGATCCGAGCCTCATCCAATCGTGGATCTGGGTCTGAGACAGCAGAGGTAGAGGAAGAAGGTGGAGATAGCAGCGCCTCTGCTGCTGCTGCCAAAGGAAGGGCTATAACACAGGCAGTCAGAAAGGGTCTCATTCAAAACACCATCCCCATCTTTATAGAGCTAAAACGGCTATTAGAAAGCAAGAATAGCCCTCTCACAGGTTCTCTCATGGAATGCATGCGAGTCCTTCTCAAGGACTACAAGAATGAGATCGATGACATGTTGGTTGCGGATAAACAGCTTCAGAAAGAGCTCATATACGATATGCAGAAATATGAATCAGCAAAGGCCAGAACAACAGCCGCAGAGGCAGTTGCCACCATGCAAAATCAAAGTGGCTACCAATCACCTTGTCTTTCTAAAGGATCAAGTGGAACTCATGCCAAAAACAAGCTGAGCCACAAGTTGCAGAGTAATTCAAAAGTGGCTTCTGCAATGGCAGATGCAGCCGCCAAAGCCACTGCTCGGTCAGTACTAAGGGAGGTGAACAAGGGAGCAATGACACCTCCACTTAATTCCATCAGCATGCCAAAACTCAAGTCTAACCAGGTAGGAGGAAGCAGTGTTCAAAATGATCGCCCATTAGATGTATTGGAATCCTTGAGGAGACGACAGTCCTTCAATTCTGACGATGAAAACTGATGTTTCAGAATCCACATTCTCCCATCTGGGCACCAGATGTAAATAGTGAATATAATTCAACTTTTTTATGTTTTTAGAAGTAGTTTTACTTACCCAATTTCCATTGACAATCCTTCATTGCCATGCCACAGGCATGTTAATGTACAGGGAGTACGAGTTCAATAGTTAAAGATGTATGGACTCAAATGACGGAACAGTGTTTATAATCAATTTAGTGAAAACTTTGCTGTTCTCTGCAGAGACTACTCCAGACAGTCCAGAAATTAGGTTTTTTTATTTATTGTGTTTAATTAAATTTTTATTTAAATAAATTTTGATATTTAATGATTGATTAATTGATTTTAGTTAAAATATTATTTATCATCTTATATAGTTATATTTCATAGTATTAATTTGATATATTAATATATTATAATAAATAATAATTTATATTATATTTTTATTTTTTATGTTAGTCTTACGTGCATATAAAATAATAATTGTATTTGATTAATGATAATTAATTAATTATTAATTATAACAATATATTTGATTAAAAATAAAATATAAAAATTTAATTAAATATAATAAAAATAAATTTGTTTAAATGTTTTTAATGATTTAGATATTTTCTTAAGTATTATATCGAAATGATATTAATACCATTAATCACTTAGCTCTGCTACTTTATACCTCCTTGTCGAATACGACGTGGCGCTTTCTCATTCGATATCCATAAACTATATATGTCAAAAGGCGGGTCATTCCTCTCTTCCGGGTCAATTCAACCAACCCTCGTTTGGACTTTGGACATTTCTCTCTCTCTCTCGGGTTCGGATCTTTCTATCAGGTAAGTCCTCACTCTCTTCAATTGTATCTTGAAGTTTTGGAAGATTCGATTTATTTTAATTACAGTTTCCACTCTATTCGAAGCATTTCAGTTGAATTTGTATATTCCAATGCTTTTTTTTTTAATCTGCTTGTAACACGAATTCCCCTAATCTGCATTTCCTTTTGATTTAGGTGATCAATTTGGAATTCTTTTTTATTCGAAGCTTGTCCAATTTGATTGGGAAGTTTAGGGTTCGGACTCGAGAAGTTTTGGGTTTTTTTTTTTTTTGGTTTCAAAATTGTTATGGATGGTAATAAAGATGAAGCTTTAAGATGTGTTCACATTGCTGAAGCAGCAATAGCTTCTGGTAACAAAGAACGTGCGTTGAAATTCATTAAAATCGCGCAACGCCTTAACCATAGTTTATCTGTTGATCAACTTTTGGCTGCTTGTGAAAACCTTGATTCCGGGTCGTCCCCTGCTTCTCCTGTTGTTGAAAAGTGTGTTTCTAGTGATAAGAATAGAGGCGGTTCGACTAAGTTGGATGAGGGTTTGAATGGGGAGAGGAGTTATACTGAGGAACATGTTCAGTTGATTAGGCAGATTAAGAGGAACAAGGATTATTATGCGATTCTTGGTGTGGAAAAAACTTGTTCAGTTGACGAGGTTAGGAGAGCATATAGGAAGTTGTCGTTGAAAGTTCATCCGGATAAGAATAAGGCTCCGGGTTCCGAGGAAGCCTTTAAGAAAGTGTGCAAGGCCTTTAAGTGTTTAAGTGATGATGATTCAAGGAGGCAGTATGATCAAGTGGGTCTGGTTGATGAATTTGAGTACAATCAGCAGCATAATGTGAGACAGAGGAGGAGGAGATATGGGAATGATTTGTTTGATGATGAATTTGATCCTGATGAGATATTCAGGGCATTTTTTGGTCAGGGGGATATGTTTAGGACGTCTCACGTTTACAGGACTAGAGGGATGGGTGGTCATCAGAGGGAGGAGCATCATGGCGGAGGACCTAATTTCTTGGTCCTTCTTCAAATATTGCCATTTTTGTTGATTTTCTTGCTTGCTTATCTGCCCATTTCCGAGCCTGAGTACTCTTTGGTTAGGAATTACTCATATCAGATTCCTAAGACAACTGAGAAATATGGAGTGGAGTTTTACGTCAAATCATCAGCATTTGATGTGAACTTTCCACTTGGAAGTCCTGCTCGAGCTAATTTTGAGGACAATGTGATTAACGATTACAGACATATGCTTTGGCGCTATTGCCACGTGGAACGCCAGAAGCGTCATTGGAATAAGAATTTGCCAACTCCACACTGTAATAAACTACAAAATCTTGGACTGGCATGAAGGTAAGTTTAACTACAAAATTGTGGCTTCAAGTCTTTTAGTTCTTTAGTTTCAGTGTCTAATTGTGCACCATTCTCACTGGGTTGTAAACCATCTGTCACTGTTAGCTTCTGTACTTGTTGGATGATATGATGCTATCAATTTGCAATTTGAATGATACTTAAATATGCGTTTTTCTGATTGAAAAGGGAACATGACTGGATTCTGCGAAATCATCAACAAGATATTATGTTGATGGGCATGGAACCCAAAGTAGTGCAGTTGGACGAGTCAAAATTGTGGGATTAGTTCTACAGATATAGCCCAGCAATTTTGTTATGTCCGAGTGCATTCTTTTGCCATGCTGTCATCTGCTAAGATGGTTCTGGGTTGGTAGACTGATTTTCAATGTATGCGAAGGTGATAATGAGGCTTGCGGACACCTTCAGGCCATAATGCTTCTCTTCTGATCATGTAAAGAAGTCTACAGTGCAGTTTGTACCAAGTATGATTCTTGTACGAATAGAAGGCAAGGATAGTTAGCACAAATAACATAAATTGAACAAAGAATGATCTTCAAGATTGTTACTTTTGTTGTTTCATTCTCATTGAGTTCCAGCGATGTCTATACTGCTTTTTAGAGATCCAGATCTTGGATCCTCCATATGATTATGTTAGAAATATGCAAAAGTCATTGAATTGTTCTTTGTTCTTCTGCTATTTTGCTGTGTTTGTTGTGGAAACTTGTTACTTGTTGCTGCTCTCCTTGGAAGGTTTTGACGGGAAAGATCAATGCCTTTGCCCATGGATGTTGCATTAAGCAACCATTTCCACCTCCATTTTCTATTCACTTCCTCCCTAATCTTCTCTTCTTTTTTTCGGTGGAATCTTTTCTTGTAGTTAATCTCTCCACTTCTGCTATAGCAGCTAAAAAAAGAACACAGAGATAGAAAATCGGAATTATTATTACAAGATGAGTAGCTGACAAGTAGGGCCGGCCTTTGATGATGGGAGCTGGACTGGTGGGGCTATTTGGAACCGATTTTAAAGGCCCATAATCTCTTGAATTTAACCATTCCGATATGGGAAAGAGATGGTTCAAAGTAGCCCAACTCCTCAAAAGAAATGTGTCTTTTGGATTTAGTGGTATTGGAGGCCCACCCACCAAGAAAATGAAGGTCCCTGTCAACAGTATAACAACAATAATAATAATTTATTCTTGAAATTAGATAGTGAGTTTTATTTCTTAACATAAAGAAGTCATGGGTTTTTTGAAAGGAACAGGGCATTAAAATTTAAAATGACATGTAGGATTTTGATGCTCTTATTTAATTCACACAGTTCTTGTTTGCAATGTTTCAAAATTGAATCCCATTCTCTTTGAGCTAGGGTCCTTTTCCTATGGCTATGAGTTTGGGTGGGTCTTCAAACCAAACAAAAAAATAAATACACAACCCATTTATTTGATTCTGGTGGGAATACTGTCCCTCTCAAAAGGAACAAATAAAAATAAATTAAATAATTAAGACATTTATAAAAGATTTAAAATTAGGGGTCACCACTAATCATTGTAAATTGAAAAAATCGATTGAATTCCATTAATTTAGTTTTTTTTTTCAATTTCAGTATTAGTAGATTAAGCCAAAAGTTTATTTGATTATTTTGGTTAATTTTTAATATTTAAAACTTACAATCGAAAAGATAACTTTTTTTTATGAGTTTGGTGGGTTTTTAAAACCAAATAAAATAAAATCAAAAAATAAATACACAACCCATTTATTTGATTATGTCCCTTAACAAAGGAAAAATAAAATAAATAAAAAATGCCATATTTTCACTATATATATATATTTTTGCCTTAAAGAAAAGGAAATGAAGGAGAGCTCTTCCTTTGATAAAGGACAAGCACGTGCGCACGTGCTTCTGCAAAGAAATCAGGAGCCAAAGACGAGTAAACAAAAGAAGAAAAAGAGGGAAGAGATTGCCGGTCCAAAAAGAACCTCAATCAAAAAACGACAAAAAGAGAGTTGAGACTGAGCTCTCAGTTCGCTGCCCCAACGGCCAACCACCGTGTCACCGCCAGGACAACCACCGCAACGACCGTTAATTAACGGACAAGTTCATCAAAAGACAGCAATATCCACAAAACTCAAACTGAACCAGCACGTATGATTAAACAGTGAAACGAGGAGAATTCTGTAATATTAGTTAAAATGACAACAATACCCTCAATTGCTTAAAGTAACCCCCGCTAGATACACCCTACCACGGCTTGGGTATTCACGTAAAATTACAAAATTCATACCACAGGAAAATTCTACGTACTATACCGTATACAAAAAAACAAAGACCCAGCCTTGGACCCTCAGATCGAAGCGGAGTCAAATATCAGAGTCATCATCGCCGCCAAAGATGGAAACACGGTTGTAAAGCAAGAACAAAATCAGAACCAGAAACAGGGCGACCCCAACAGGCGAGCCGCTGACTCGGTGGATAGAGTCAGGTTCGCCGGTGGAGAAAATGCTGGAGACGAAGGAGCCACGATCCGAGGAAAGGAACTGGATGGTGAGGAGGAGAATGATGGGCAAGAGAAGAAGACCGACCGGACTCAACAGCTCGGTAATAGCTTCCGTTATAGCTTCACCTTGGTCACCGAACAGGAACGGAGCTAACACCACGATGCCTACCACCACTGCCAGTATCACTCCATGGGGTGCACCACCTTGCCTTTCTGGTAACATTGTGCTTGTTGGGTCTGGTCTCTTTCGTTTTTCTGTTGTTTTTGAGGTATGAAGCTTTCTGGGTTTGTGAGAAAGGGCTACAATAGAGAGGAGGGAGGGAATGGAAGGTTAAAATAGAGAGAAGGGGGGGAGGGGCGCAGACGCGTTTGTCTTTTCTTTTCTTTGTTTACCACGTTTTTACCTGGGAGACATCAAAAATAAGATGGGTAGTTCAACTGTTCATAATCATTTGTTTATGTCTGAAGAGGGACTTTCGCTGTTTTTTAATTGGACTTCCCCTGCTTCTATCATTCATGCACTCGTCAATATCAAATAAAGTAAATTCTCGACTCTTTAATGAACCATGAGTTCTTTGTCTTCTTCTTGATAAATTTTTAGTTTATAATTAAGTAATAATCAGATGGTGAAGTTTGCTTTCTGAATCGGATGGTTAAAACTTTGAATTAATCTTCCAAGGAGGTAAAAGTCACGACGAAAGCTGAATTTCTAGGAGCTAGTATTCGCTTTCAAATGCATCAGCTGAGCAAAAGCAGTACAATTTCGTGCAGGCCAGGATTTGAAAGTTCCACCTAGCTACCTATCAAGTAACACGTGCCAGTGGGACAGGGGCTACATGGGGCGGTTCATAATTCTGGCAGGGAATTGTTAAAAAAACATAATGTGGATGTCATGACACCACATTTTCTGTCTTTGCAAGGAGAGAGGATCTCTTTATTTTGTGGAAACAAGAGCAAAGGGTGATTCCTTTCAATTGCTAGGGCTCGCCGTGTGTGGAAAGCTTCCAAAGTCAATTTAGTTTCACCCATGGCTGCTTTGCCAATTGCATTACAGTTGTACTGGAAACATAGATTGGCACAGGCGTCACAGCTTCCTTCCGGGGCTTAGCTTTTCTTAGTGGTACTTCATCTTCTTTTAAAAATTTTACAGATTTTGATCGACAGTCTTGGTATCAAGAGTGAGAACAAAAGAATCTGATACATGGATTTTTCTCTCTTTGTATGATATGTTACTAGTATCTAGTTAAAATATGGAGTATCTTTGAGCTTTCTTTACTCCATGGTATGCAATTTACCTAAAGTAATTTGGCATTTTCATCACCCTATCCTGACATGACAATGTGCCTATAATTCTTCAGCTTTCTCACTTCGTACGATCAGGGTACCCCCGGGGAATGCATTAGAAAAGTTGGACGGAATGGGTTTAGTCAATAAAGCCATTGAAGGGTATTTGGACTCTTAGGTCCCAGAAGCATGTGGGAACCCCCTGTTCGTTGCGTAAAGTTGGAGGATCAATGACCCTTCATTTCAATGGATAAATCTTTTCTTCTCTATCATGGTAGTAAGATTCAAGAACCCTTTTTCCCATCAATGGCCAGAATACCATCCAATTGTCTTCCTTACGGTAAAGAATTTGCCTGCAATTCAACACCATACGATATCTGTTTCTCACCTTTTGCTGCTAATTTTTTTAACCAAGTTTTCTTCATAAAGTCTTACAGGCCCCGCTTTTTTTTCTTTCTTTTTTTCTAGTTAGCAATTTTGTCCAATTTTGTCTGATATATAGATAACAAATTGAAGATTGTATAGCAGTGGCACGTCATTGAGAGTAAGAAAATCTGAACTTGATGATGATTAAAGAGCAAAAATAGCAATCTGCTGCCAATAGCAAGTGGACAATTTAGTACACAAAGTAAACTGAAGACGCAAGGGGGCCTAGAGGGTGCAGATTAAATAAATGATTGCAGAGGGGGATTGGATCCCACACCACTTGCTGCAGAGGAAAACATTTCTTTTTTTTTTCTTCTAATTCCCTTGCTTTGATCTTATATAGACAGTTGGGAAAACGTTTAGTTAATTTACTGTATTACCTCCATGATTACATTAATATTTTAACTATAAGTCACACCCCATTGCTGACAGTTTTGAACCTAGAATCTGAGACACAATCCTTAAGTGTCTCCTAAAATAACATGTTGGATAACTGCTAATGACTGTCAAGGATCAAGTGCTTATCGTCTGATCAACAGGCAACATAAAGTCAGTAAAGATTGGCCAAGTGATTACCCTTTCAAGTCTAAACAAGTAAATATTTGAGTATCATGAAACATTAGAATCATCTTTAACCCTATAACTCTCATATTGATAAGGTCGGTCATAAGAAAAATAGTGATCACATGGCAGTCTGCCAGATGTATTGGCCACTGACTCAGAAAACCAAATGATGGATTTCCATTGCTTTACAAGAACATTATTTAGAAGAAAACCAGGAACCAGGAAGAACCTGAAGAGCTAGACAAATGCCAGAGCGAAGAATCAAGGAGTAGACGAGAAAGAAAGAGAAGGAAGGGTTGTTTTAAGCACCAATTTATTTGTCAATCACCCACCATAATCACACATTGCAAAGGAGCAACTTTTCTGTCCAGGACACTTTTGAAAGCAAGAACCACAATTGTGAGGATCATTCTGAATATCAACACACTTTCCATCACAGCAAACGAGTCCATAAGCACATGCCTGACCGCATGCTCCACAGTTATCGGAATCCCTCAGTGTGTCCCTGCAAAACTGTTCAAAACAACAGGTGCTGCCACCCCAAGGATTCTTCTCACGATCCAAGCAAATTTTAGCATCTCTGGCACATGACAGCACCCTTTGCCGCCCTCTCAAAGCAGCCCGGAAAAAGTTCAAATGTGTAGAAGCATCATCAGAGTCCTGCAAACTAAGTTCCCTTCCAGCAGCAACCCCATGATCAGAAGTTTCAATCAACACAAGGGTGATGAAAAGCAGACAGTTTTTAACAGCATAGCTGAAATGGGAGTTTGCAGAAAGCATGGGAACATTACACGGAACACTTGAGATTGGTGATTTTGTATCATTATCTTTGACGAGAAAAGCTGGCCCGATCAGATGAGAAAACTATCAGAGGAGACATTAATTTTTATATTGAATTTCTTATTTGAACTGGTAGGCTTTGTCAAATAATTAGCATGTAGACAATCTCATTACGTAGAGGATCAACCTAACACGATTCAAAAATTAAGGAGTTGAGAAGAAAAGCAGACTTGATCTTGACTTGGGTACTTTTAATTTGTGAAGGCAGTTGATGCAGAACATTTCCTATTAATTTTTCTGTAAGTCAATGAGAATCTTGCAACAAATCAAAATTTTCTATTGTCCAAAAACTTATAATAATAAGCATATGCTAAGGCAAAATTTGCCTTGACTGATACCACAAAATAGTTTTTATGGTAGGAGAGCGCGGCAAATTTGACCTGATTAAATATTCAAGCTAATTATCTAGAAAGCCTTAAATTGCAGCTGATCAACAAAAGAAAATATTCATATTGACAAATTTGAACAAAAGGGTTATTGAAAAAGGAGATGGTTTGCCATAGAAGGATCAGATTAATTTGCCATTCTTTGCTTCATGAGTTTTCTGCTAAAGCAAGCACACTTCTAGTCCAAAGCAAAATTACAAAATGGGGTTTGATTATAGATTAGGAAGGGTGGAATCATGGGAGCACAGAAGGGACAAAACAAAATGACGAAGTCCAAAAACTACCTTTAGCAGTCATGTGAAGTATATGCACCATCTGCAGAGAAGAAAGTAGCTAGCAAACCAAACAAGAACCTCATGAGAAAGATGAAAGCCTGAAACTGTTTTTCAAAGTTCAAAAGACTAAAAAATAATTGAAGCAGATGTCAGGAGTAACAAATAGCTTTATTTTCAGGATTTGGACAACCAGCACAAATCAACCAAAGTATGAAGTATTCAATCAATGTATTTAGTTTCTACTTTCTTGCCTCATTCCATTTTTTCTCTTGCTTCACCATCCGTTTTCACAAAAGCTGTTTGCGCAATCATATTTCCTTCACAATTAATCATTTAGCACTTCTTATACAATAAAACATATGAATCAAATTAAACAAGCGCTTAATGCCTTGAATGCTGTCATTTATGATTTGTGAGTGTTTTCTCTTGCAAGTACAGCATGAGTTGAAACTTTGGCAAGCAAGCTAAATGCAGATTTGGGTTGCAACATGAATGCAATTTAGCCTAGCTAAGGCCTGGCAATATAGACTTAGTCAGGGGCCAAGAATGACACGCCAAGCTTATTCCTGCTCCTGCCTGGTTTGACATGTTTAGACATGGAAATAGTAAGCTTGGTTCTGATTTGAAACCTTAAACGAAAGGAAGTGAATAAAACATCTCTGATATTATTGAAATCTTTGTAGATGAATTTGTATTTTGAAAATGTTGCTATATCTGCTAAAACCAGTATCAAAATCTAGCTAATAGGATTAGATTAGGTCCAGAACCAAATATCTTAGTGCAAATCATCGGTGATGCTTCTTGGTCTTAAGTTTAAAGCTTTTTTGCTCTTGCAATTCCATCTTATGACATGCCCCAGAATCCAAATTTGAGCTACATTTTCAAAGACACGAAATGTGGTAGGCCATGAGGTTTGATTCTCTTTCGTGTGTCACAGCCCCATCCAAAGAAAGCTATTACCTGTTTTGTCCATTAAACTAGATAATGATAGGGCTACAACTTACATGTGATTCTGATCCAACGTCGGAAACGCTTCTGCACTTTCTAGAACTAAATCTTTTTTGAGCCCGTGACAGACAAGGGTCCAATCCATCTGCAAGAGGGGTCCACCAGAGAAAGCATTACATCAAAGCTTGACCATGCAGTCTTGCATTCATTGCCTAATTTGTTCCTAAACTCAACAAGAAATCCACAAGGTTTGCCCAAAGATCTGATTACACAAAAAAACAACACAGTAACACTATATTTTAATCAATCCATCAAATGCTAGATCTTGGGTTTCTGGTATCTTCAAAGGAAATGATAACCTATTGATATCGCAATTATGCTGTATTTTGATTAATTTGTATGTGTTCAATTATGCTAGCTGAACAAGTGTTGATAAGATAAATTTTCTGGAATCTTTTCCAAGCAGAACTTTCCTTAAAAATTTAGATGAAGAAGGTGTTTTGTTGTTTATCCCAAGTATGTGATTGTCATTGATTTGAAGTCACATTTGACAGGAGGCTCAGATAGATCAGAACAAATTTATAGGGCATAGGGTTCTATCCTTGCGTTTAAGATGTCACTCTCATGACAGCCTCATGAATGCCATCAGAATTGGCTTCCATCATACCAAACAAAGATGGATTGCATCAAGGATTGCCAGAGTT